CATACATACATACATACATACATACATACATACCCTTCTTTTGCACTGATCTATTATTTTTAAAAATGCATTTTTATGATGGAAAAATAAACACAGATTTGAGATGTTAAAACAAATGTTTTAGCATTAACTGAAATGGGAAATAAAAGGTCTTTTGCTGTCTGTAGTGACTGAAATGTACCTTTAGCACAAGCTACCCTTTCAAAAGCCAGCTTTTGATCCCCCAATTCAGTCCATCTATCTGTCAGCAACCAGAACATTGTTGCAGTTACATATTTATCATTTGAAATACAACAGCTTGGAAAAAGCCCTCAAGGAAGCACATGTTTGCAGTCCAACAAAATACAATATTTCTAAATTAGAACAGTTCATATAAGAATTATTTTGAAATCTGCCACCCAGTGGAGAATTGCTTTACAAACACAAATCCAAATTCAAGTGAATGTAAGCTTTTTAAAAATCCTGTTGATTTCAATCACAAAAAAATGAGCATGCCCTTAAGCTGTCCCATTTATGGTAATCAGACACGCAGTTCAATTAAATGCACATTCACTCAACAATAACTCCAGATGAGTTTAGTGGGGGTGGTTCTATGACAGTCATACAGGCTTGGGGACCTGGCATGCTTTTCCTAAAAGCTGCATCCAGTAGGCCTTGCAAGTCCTTTAGGGTCTGTTAAAAAAGGCAGCAATCCTAAAGTGCAGAACAATATGATATACAGACAATAAACATCTTTGTTTATGTATAGCAAACCTCAAGATGGAGATCTATAGATCCCATATACTCCCATGATGTATATTAGTATGCCTATCTTATATTATCATAAATTAAACTCTAATGAGCCTTCCAGTGATCTGATGACTTCCAAATGCTATGAGTTCAGTTTCAGAAGTCCCAGACAACATAATTTGGGTTGGGAATTCTAGGAGTTGAAGTTAGATATCAGGAGGGCAACTGATTGGTAGAGGCTGCAGTAGTCCAACTACTATACCTTCTTCAGGAGTAATCCATGGGAAATATTGTCTGCAGTTAGAAAGGCTGATACCAGGTGAGTTATTGATCCAGCTTCTCCACAATGAGGTCGAAACAAGAAGGTGCTCATGCCTCTTTCCCTATAACAATTTAAAATAAAATTAGCATCATACCTTCCCATTCTCAAAGACCAGAATGGTCTTTCCCACCAATCATAATAACTTATCTCACAGCAGCTGTTGAAAATGCAAAAAAATGTGCATCTGTGACAATAGGCTCCTGATGGGCAGCAACATGAAATGTACATTAACTCAAAAGTGACTTCCCCTCCATCATACCATGTGACAGCCCCTAACCCAGCCTGACCTCAAAGACACTCCAGTTTTAACTAAGATGGTAGTGGAGGCTGTGCCCGTGGCTGCTGGGCATCAGATAAAAAAATGTCTTAGGCTGGCCTTGTCCAAATGTTCAGAGGTAACTCCTCCATTTCATTAGATACGCATTTATGACTGCAGCTCAAATGCCTCCTCACAGGATAATTCTGGCAATGGGCTAACTCTCATGGCATCAACAGAGACTGAACTTTTTGTAATGGAAACTTTTTTTTTTTAATATTATATTTTACCAGGCCTGTGTACTACTCTCTATGCATGCAATGCATAGCTGACTCTGAGGGTCTGGTCTGCTTTGTTTTCATGTTTTAGATTTCTTAATTTCACTTTCTCTCCAGTTACGTACAAACTGAAGTAGGTCTAAAGCAGTGTTGCCCAAACGTGGCCACTTTAAGATGAGTGGACTTCAACTCCCAGAATTCCCCAGCCAGCCACTCATCTTAAAGCAGCCAAGTTTGGACAACACTGGTCTAAAGGCTGCACTTTGCTTACAATCTGATTTTGTGCTTAGTATGAGGAGCAAATCTGAACAGATTTGTAAAAACAAACAAACGTCTATGAGAGAATGGATAATCTGTACTACTTGTACAGATTATAAATTCACTATGATAGCATAACTACAAATGGCTCCAGGCAAGACAGAAAAATGACATCTGTGATGTCAGGGACACAGTTCTGCAGATAGCAATTATTACAATTTGCTGTTGCAGAATACTGCTGCAGAAGTAATGCCGAAAGTGAATATCTGCAGAAATCTGGGCTTCTGCTGATATTGCTTCACACGCTGCTAAAGCTTATAAAACTGATTTGATATAAAGATCACAAAAGGGATTAAAAAGAAAATTAGAAGGCATACTTCAAGGGTTGATGATCTACATGTCTGAAAAGTTATTTCCTCCTTACCCAACAAGAGGGACTTTGTGCACAAAAATATTCTGCAGTTATGTTTCTCACGCTGTGAACAGTATCCCTCAATCTGAGAGCTCCCATTTCCACCTATCTCCAGCCCTCCCATCATAGTCACAGATGACAGAAGTTCTAATCCGAGAACATGTAAGCATCATAGGCTAAGAAAGACTAGTTTAGAGTTATTAGAGAACCAACTTTTTGTTTGTTTCTCTACTTCCAAAAGATGATAGCATCTATAACAGAATTTACCATCAGGACAACATATGCCTAATCCTAATGCCTCGAGCAGAATTTTTAACCTGGAAACATTTAGAACTCTAGCATTTCTTCCTTGTGGAATTAGAAAGGAGGAGGGAGAATAAATGAAAAAGGGGGGAAGATAAATTACATATATTTTTATTTATATTAATGTTTGTCTTATGAAACCATGATGTAAATTCCTTTGGTATACCTTTCTACCAAATATACAGAGACATGAAAATAGAAATATTACTACTTACTTTCTAAGGTTGTTGAGAACCATGATGTTTACATACATATAGTACAAATAATAGCTATATGGAGGATTCTTTTCACTAGTCCAAATATCAGGATGGGGGCTCCTTTCAGAGAACATGTGATCACTATGTTTTGATTCATCATCCACACTATCAAACCCTGTCACCTAAGAATTTAATAAAAACAGATTTTTAAATGAATAAACTTTAGTATCAGTAGATAAAATGTTCTAATGTCAGTGAACAGATCAACTCATTTTAACAGGATGAAATTCCATCTGTATCAGTTTCAATTTTGCTAAAACATAAATAAAAAGTATTAAACAGGAAAAGCCCTGGAGTAGCTTCATAGTTTTCAGAAACATAAGGCCCAAAGAAAACACAGTAGAAGGCTCTGTGATATGATTAGAGAGATTAGTTTTATTTATTTTCTGTTCCTTATTTCTGTTTCACAACCCTTTTATTTTGCAGAGGCAGTTTGAAGGGTATTACACAAACTGTCATGCTGTTCTGTGGGATGTAGAATGGGTGCCAGGACCAGGCAAATATAGTATTTGGACTCATACAAAGCCAGTATATGCTAGCTGGTCTTTATAATTAGCCACTGTTCTTACTAAGAACACACGTTTTCATGCCCAGACTTTGATCTGAGACATACACCATGCATCCTCTAATTTTTTTCCAGAAAATTAAAGGAGCCCAAATGGTGATTGATGAAACATAAAAAGGAAATGTAATTATTATTTGTTGTGGCAAGGTTAGAATTCAAAAGCAACCTCTTTTATATTCTCTGCAAGTTTCTGTACCTCTCTACTACTCAGACAATGTCTCAAACTGCTACCCTCCACTCATTTATTCCCAGTGCTGGTTCTCTGGGAGAACCTGATGGTGCCTTCAAACTTTACCATTAGGGAAGAGAGCTACTGCAGCACAGCTTATTATCCTTACTACCATGAGGTAATATCAGATTTTTAAAATGCTGGAGTGATTCCCACACCATTCAGATCAGCCAGGCAAAGCAAAACTCTAGCATTCTATTAGGAACGAAACTCATCACATGGATTAATCTCAGGGCTTGACCTGCAAGAACATGGGATCACAAATGGCTCGCTCTTTTTTAGCATTGTTAACTTTTGCCAGGAAACAGGTCCAGAGAGATTTAATATTATTCTAAAATTAACACACAACCTCACTCCATTGCCCCCAACAATCCTAATACTGTACTGGTAGTAAATAAATAGAATTATGGCTGATACAACAAGATGTATACAGCTGAAGAACTGACTGCCTTTTTTATTGCAAACAATATTTTCAGTGCTCCCTATAATATTTTATGTGATGTTCATTGTTCTGAGACTTTTTACTTTTGCTTACGCCTTTCTACTGTCATACAGGTAGACCTTGCTTAACAACCATTCATTTAACAACAGTTCAAAGTTACGATGGCCTTGGAAAAAGTGCTTTATGACTTTTTCCTCACACTTATGACCGTCGCAAACTGTTGCACCACCCCTGTCATCACGTGATTGTGATTTGTGATCTTTATGACAGTTGTTAAGCAAATCAGAGATTCTGGCGAAAAATGTCCATAGGGGAAGCTGGATTCACTTAACGACCATGTGATTCACTTAACATGATTCACTTAACAACCATCATAAAAATGGTTGTAAAATTGGGTCCGGTCACATGGTGACTCACTTAACAAACATCTCACTTAATGACCAATTTTCCGGTCCCTATTGTGGTCGTTAAGTGAGGACTACCTGTATTTTTACTGATGAATCCATGACTGGATCATATTTATCATGTATTAATGCTCAAATTAATTTTAAACAACATCACATTTTTGTCCTGACTCCCTACCACTTTCTAGAACATGGCCCCTAGCAGACCACTTAAAGATGAAAGTGTGGCCCTTGGCCCTAATAAAGTAGTGCACCCCTATTTTAAACCAACAGTTTTCTATTTTATAGCAAGCCAGCAAAAAGGATATCTAGTGAAGTGCCTTCCATTCCCCCACACTATCAACCTGAAGGAGGGTTAAGGTTAATTATTGGCTATATGAATTATCTCACTTAAATGATACAAATTAAAATTTAAACTGCTGACGATCATAAGGTCCCAACCTCTTATTGACACATTGCTAAGAGTTGGATGGCATATAAATGATGATGATGATGATGATGCAAGCTATTACAGGGCGACCATCACATGGTGATTAATTTGCATCTCCATAATTGTGTGTAAAGGCATCCTAACTTTATTATATTGTATTTCACCATAATGTTGGTACTACAAAACCTAATGCTGCCTTAAACCACCCTTCAAACTGTTCCACAAAATAATTCTTGATTGATTTTCTCTTGAAAATTAAGGTATTGCTCACACATATATCCAAATGAGTAAGAAGCACCATAAGCAAAAAGGAAGAGTACCTTGGATAACCTGGCATCACATTTTAGGATGCAGCCATCAGAACTGTTGGCACTATCTGGAGGCCAAAAGGCATTTTTATGTATTCCAAGTTTTCATAACAGCAATCAAAGCAGTTAAATACTTGATCCCTTCTTTCATGCAAATTAACCTGAGATCTAATTTGGTAAAAATTGTGGGCTTTCTGCAAATATTCTAAAAGCTCAGAAAGGACAGGAAGAAGGTAGTGATCCTTAACCATTATAGAGTTCAGAAACCAATGATCATGAACTACAAGGAAGGATTCACCCTTCTAAACAATCAAACAAAAAAAAAAATAGGAGCACTTGCAGTGAAGGATAATAGCAGATCAAATAAACTGGTAATGGTGTTTTGTGGGAATCTGAGCTCTAGCAACAAGAACCCACAAATTGATCAACAGGGCAAAGTCTGCGCCTCCCACTTTCCAAACACATCAGCATATGTGGTAGGCAATGTTGGTAGAAACTCCTGCTGTGGGATGTCAAATGGTGGGGTCTGCAGGCTATGAGACTTACATGCTAGGGAAATCAAAGATTACGTTATCGTGGTCCCAATGAATGTACGGATTTTGAATCTGAAGGCAGTTATATTCAAAATAACTAGGTCCACCACAATATAAACAAAGACCTTCCATGCACTGGCAGTTTTTATTGGGCAGAAAATGGAGCTCTGCTAGCCCCCAGCTGCACAGATTCAACTTGCACAGTCTCTGTATGGATATTTGTAAAGAGGTAGGAATGAAAGGGAATAGTGGCATCTTTGTTTCCCACCCATGCTTTGTCATAATTCTTCAAAACTTCCACTGATACTCAAGCAGAACTCGATTAATACATCGAAAGTCTCTGGGCTGCCCTGCAGATTAAGTATGTCTGATATTTCATCTGATAGTCCCTCTTGTTGATCTGTTAAATTCCTTTCATTTCAGCCCACATCTTGAACTAACAACTGAAAATCAACTGCTTATTATTACACAGAGCACTTATTCCATCATAGGTGATGGATTTCATAGTTGTATGTCACCTGTTTACCAGAATCATCAAATGTAGTTCTCAAGGGTATCATGTAATTATTATAGTTTTCCAAGTCCAGGCAATTCTGTATCAAAACAGGGCATTGCCCATTTTGTAGTCCCTCACTAAGCAGACCAATTATAAATCCTGCATGGGATCACTCAGTGGTAAATTCCCCAGGCCTTAGAAAGATGTAGAATTCACCACTGAGAGAGGATGGTAGCAAATCTGCCAGGATTCCCATCATGCTTGTCAGGTAGAGAGGCAGGTGTTTGGCCTCAGAGTACTTCTTCTGAGCTGGAAGCAGTACTGGAGCACTGCTTGTGGCAAATACTCTTCCACCTGCTGGGCTAACTGGTTCATTATCTGGGTTAACTGGTCCAACGTGCAACTTGTTCTGATATTTCAGCAAGGCACTAGCAACCTGTTCCACAGTCACTGGGGTTACCAGACAGCTGCTGCCATTGCTTAATCTCAGAGCCTTCCTCCTTTAGGATTGGGAATAATGGGATGGGAAACGTTCTGCCAGAGCTTCCTACCAACAATTAAACTTCTTCCACAGCCTGCATTTCCAAAGAGACACAAGACAGCAGGTTTTCTTGCAAAAGAAATCCATAAATATGAAAAAGTTCTCCATTCCCCTATATATCTTAGCCCCCATTTAAATCCTGGGCCCCTTGCTCTTGTCTTTTCAAGTCAACAACTATTGTAATTGCTCATTTCCTGGCTTTGCTTGTATCTGTTCCTTGTTTACAAAACAGCTTTCTTACCAGCTTTAACCTTTACAGTATGCATTAATTTACCAGTTCTTCTAATATCTAAACATCTAAACATGTCATTAATATTCCAATGTTTCTGGAATATTAGCAGACAATAATAAATAATTACTATTTGAACACTAAAAACATTAATCTGGGTTACATTACAAATAATATTAAAAACTGTCTGGGCATAAGATATATCTAAAATGAGATATTACATTTTTTTTAAAATAATGATAGCCCCACCATATACAGTATGAAATATTTAGACCTTCCAGCTCTACTTTTCCAAATTCAAATCCTGCACCCAGAATAACCACCCTGATTAAAAAGCAATTAATATTGTTTTAAAAGCAATTAATATTGTATTTTGAGGATTAACAGATAAGTTAATTTTGATAGATAACAAAACAGATAATTTTGTTGAGATTTTACTATGTCTAAATATTTTCCCCAGTATCTTATAATTTATTTTTTTCACCATAAAAATTACTTATAAGATTATAGTTATTTGTCATCTTCCCTTTAGATTTCCCATTCTATTTGATATTAAGTAGTTAATTTTCTCATTAAATATCAGAATCCCAGTTTATCATGCAGGGAGTTTGTTATTTGTAAATACTGAAACCAGAGGGACTTTCATTCTCCTGTCTAGACACCAATTTTTCCTCTAGTCGGTAATGATTTATCTACCATCCTATTCATATTTTTATTTCCCAGTTTAGAAAAACACTTTTGCATTTGTTGATACTGAACTGCTTATCTATCATTACAGATGCTAGTAAAGTTCATTTGAGCTTAGAAATTATCTTTTTTCATATCAGGTTTTGAAATTGTTGTGGGATTAATTTCACATTCAACCAAATTCTCCTTTACATCCAAAGAAGAGCCAGTTTATACATTCTATCCATCCAAACTCTAGTGTGAAATATATGAGAATAATTAAATTAGCTCCACAGTCCCATGGTATACCCCAGCAAATTAGAAGGAGACAATTCTGTTTTAACAATATAGGTCAAAGCTCTGTGCATGGCACGGTGTATTCTTCATTAAAGAACTTGTTCCACCTTCCTCTATCTGGCTTTTGAGATTTAATGTCACTAGTTATTGCCCAAACATTTTAAGCCTATTGCTGTAGTCTGAACTTGCTTCTGAAAACACATAAAAGAAGAATGCAAAGTGATAACAATCACTAGATACACGCAGTCTAGGGCAGCCAAATACTTACAAATTTAAGAAAAAGATGTAACTCTTTATGATCCAAGGGATTAATGGTTGCTTCAAACAGAGGTAAGAATATGTTTTCCAGCATTTTCCCAAAGTTAGGCAGAATATTTTTTGCCCTAAATATATCACTGAAAAAAACAAACAAACAAAATACTTGAATATCCTTATTGTGCTTACTTGGGACATGATCAACTTTAGGAATGGGCACCCTATAGCCTCCCTACTCCACAAATCCCCCAAGATTCCACTGTTGAATTTTGGCTGCAAAAAAACCTAAGCAACTATAATTCAATCACCTTAACACACATATTTGATATTAAAACAAAAGCAAAAAACACTTGAACTATGTAACATGAAAATGCTCTGAAAATTCTACCCTTGCCCTTCAAATGATACTTACGCTATTACTAACCATCTCTAATCTTTGATCTAAAAAAAATGGGGGGAAAGCCATAACAGGTTACTTCTTTTATCTAGCCTAGCCCTATGCAAACAGAGCTCTTTAGCAAAGTCCTAGAGTCATTCCTGCAAGACATCATGTATGGTTATTTATCAGATTTATTAGATCAATTTATATAGCTGTCCAATCGAAGTACAGCTCAGACCAGCATACAGAGTTAAAAACAACAGATAGTAGTAAAATCATTAAATATAATATAACATATTGTGCCAGAGACAACTTCAAACAACCCAAAACAACCAGAAACAATCAATGAATCCATCAAGATGGGCACAAAACCTCCTATCTCAGTGCCTGGGGGAAAAGCCAGGTCTTCAGAGACTTCCAAAAGGTACACAGGATATGGACTATCCAATCTCAGGGGAAATGCTTTTCATAGGGCAGGTGCGCAAGAGAGAAGGCACGTCTCCTGGGTTCTGCAAGATGACACTGCTTAAGTGATGGGACCTGGAGCATGCCCAACCTGACAGATGTATCAGATAGGTAGAAATAATCAGAGATAGGGAGCCCCACAAATAACCAGTCTCTGTGCCACGAACGGCTTTGTATGTAATAACCAACAGTTTGAATTGCACCCGGAAGCCTACTGGCAACAAGTCCAACTTGTGCAACAGTGGTATTACATGGGCAAACCCAAGTGCCCCCATAACTATTCATACGACAGTACTGCATTCTCGGCCAGCTATAGCTTCTGCGTGGTCTTCAAGGACAGCCCCCTGTGGAGTACACTGCAGTAATCCAAACAATAGGTGATCAAGACTTGAGTGACTGTGTGTAGGGCCTCCCAATCCAGTAATGGATACGATTGCAGCACAAGGTAGTTCTGTGCAAAGGCCTTCGGAGCCACGGCTGGCACCTGTTCTTTGAGCAGGAGCCATGAGTCCAAATTGGCAACCCCAAATTGCATCATCCTGCTTGTTCTCCAAATCTCTATCATGCAGCATTTCTGCAATATTTGTGGAAGCAAGTGAATAACAAGGGCAAGTTAAATACAGGAAGAGATTTTTTGGGTGCAGCTTTGCTTCCCATGTACAAACTCAAACAATTATATATTTAAAGTAAAATGGCAGGCACGTTACTGTAATAGTTTACATGGACTACATTAATACATATTATGATTACATTACATGATGAGCCAATTTTTATTGGCAAATTGAAAAAGACATGGGATAGTGGCAGGGTAGAGCTGCCCGTGGTCCATTGCTTGCTCATGGCTCTCAAGCCTGTCTTTTATGTTCATTAGAAATCAGGTCATCAAATTATGGCAGCAACCTGCTAAGATACTGTATTTTTGTGCTAATCTCTCAAGTTTAACACATCAAAAAGGAAGGGAAGAAAGGAGCAAGCCACACCAACACTTCTAAAATACAAACTTCCTGGTACCACCCACTTTAGCAATACTACATCACTGCGTAACTTCCTTTAGCAGACTATCTCCCAAATATCTCCCTGGTTTCTGAAAGATTGTCCTCCACAGATTTAAAGCAACATATTTGGTTCTTAGAGGCAAAGGGAATGAAGCTGTCAAACTTTATCCTGATGGCCTCATACAGGATACTGTGGTAACAGTCATGGCGCAAGGTTGTTTGCTTAACCACAGCTGTGGGAAGAAAAAGAAGTCAAATTTCCTCATTGCTGTAAGGAAAATCCTTATTTCTTATACTTAAGCACATTTTAAATGCCTCACCTTCTGTTAGAAAACTGGAACAAAAAAGAAATGCATCTGTTTCCAAATATGTGTTGCTGGTTCTTTTACTTACTAGATTCTTGGGACCTGAATAATCCAGCGCATGTGAGGTGAATAAACTTTGTGTCTTATGAACCATTTAGCCAAATTTTGCCACTCATCTGAAGAACGCCCATAAATAGACAGCCGAGGTTCTGTGTACTGGTATTTACTTTCTTCTAGTTCACGGGCAACTTCCTATTCAAAATAAACCATTATTACTTTTCTGTTTGGAGCAAACACATTTTATCAAAAAGTCTTACATGCACAGCCTAACTTGGAAATACACCTACTGACCTTTAATCACAGTGCATTTTGTATTTTGCATCTCAAGTTCCCCAAGTGTTTACAGACCTAATGATGCCCACTTAGGATTGTTTTTAATTCTGCAAGCTATAGAACTCACTGCCACGCAGTATTACAATGGTGTTCAAAACTCTACATACTTCAGCATTCTTCTGGTGCAATACCATAAAATTGAGAAATTTGAGCAATACAGGAAAGATGTTTAAATTTGTTCCTATCTTCATATACGTATTTCTATACTTTGTCAAGACAGAATTATTTCCTCTCTCGTGGAGACCTAGTTGGAAAAGGTGGGGACTCCTCTCTCTTAGACGTGGACATCAGAGTTCTGCTGAAATTTGATGGGGGAGGGAGGAACATAGACCACATTACAAGCTACAGATTCCGTATCCTGTCTAACATTCACCCCAAGTGTGAATGTCTGAAGGAAGAAATATTCTATCTGTGCTACCAGGTGACCACTAGATGGTGACAAGGAGATCCAGAAACTGTTGTGTATTGCCCTATGCTCTACATAGCAAACTAAGTTAATAGTTGATTCATCTGTAATTGAGAAATCACAGACTGAGCTGTTTGAGACTTGCAAGTTCAGTGATCGATGTTAACAGTAAAATTAAGCTACAGTACACACAAACTATACTGAGTAGTTTTCAGTACGTCATCCAGGAACTGCGGGTTATTTGGATACCTTTCAAAAAATTAGACTACGTAGTATGTCATGATCTAGTCCAGCATTATTTATTCATTTATTTATTTATCATATTTATATAGCTGCCCTCTCACACAAAGTGACTCTGGGCAGCATACAACAATTAAATAATATATCCTTTGTTTTTAAATAAGGCAGCATACTTCAGAATCCCTTATCAATTGTGACTTAAGTGTTTTTCACACAATTACAGAGCTGGAAGATGCCATTTAGACCATCATGTCCAACCTCCTACTCAGTGCAGGAGTCCCATCTAAAGCATTCTGTATCAGAGCCGTCCGCAAAACTCAGTGCTTTCATCAAAATGACCAAAGCAGCATTGCACCATTGCAACATAGCTCCACCTCTTTCATAGGTGCATGCAATATCATGACATGTGTACAAAAGGGCAGAATTGTGTCACAATGGTGTGACACTACTTTCACCATCTGCCCCTCCTTGACTGTCCCTGCAGATGCCTCTGTCCCCAACTAATGGCTATCCAACTTTCCCTTGAACATATCCAGTGAAGGGGAATCCCCACTTCTTTGGGTAACTGATCAGGTCTAATCTTTTTTTCTTGCAGTCATCAGTTTGGCCATGATACTCCTATTCGCCAGCCACAGCTGCTGTGGTGCCTTCATGACCTGAAGAAATAGGCATTGTAAGAGGAACAATCTCAACAATGCCTACCGGTGATAAGCTGTAAAATTCAAAAACCCATCAGCAACAAACTATGGATTCTAATTAAGAGTAACAAAACACATGAAACTGAAGTCACCCCATCCTTGTTTTATAGTACACACGCTTTTCCATTTTTTTCATCAATGTCATCCACGTAATTAACAGAGATGCTATTAATTATGTGAATGAAACAGCATTCATGTAATTACTATCAGATTCAGCCTGGTTTTCCTAATGGAGGCGGGATGTTGAATTTTGTCTATCCTTCGCTAACTGCGCTCTCAAATGTCCACAAATTTGTGCAGTGAAACACTTTAGGAATCCATAATTCACAGAAAAAAGCAACACATATTATTTCACTGTTGAAAATGGGATATAAATGGGCTTAACATCTAAAGACGAACATTAAAGTAATTAAACATTATTTCATTATTTAATTAAACATTAAAATAAGAACTGGACAAATTAATCAGATGTTCCAAAGCTTTTCTTGTGCCTTGGGTAATTATTTATACCAGAATAATGTAGAATACTATTTAAATTTTACAAACATTTTATGTATGAATCATATATACAGCACGTACGTGCATGTAATTTCTATTCAAATATTTACAATAGGTCAAGGACATCTATGGATTCCAATCCCATCCCATGCACGTTAACCCCAATTTATGCACACAGAAACTATCTGTAGATTTATAATATGAATACTTTTCACCCAAAATATAATTTATATTGTTACATTGTATTTCTATTCCAAATCAAAACATTTATGATTAATAAACCCTCAGAGGTATCTAGAGATCTATACAATTGGACCAGAAAGTTTATTTTCATGATTAAAAAGATTTCATTATTATCTGCAACATTGGAAACAAAAATACATGAGAAATGCATCAGTCAGAGCAGTTCATATTAGGCTATACTGATAAACAGTCTATGCAAAACATCAGCCTGTGTCATAGTTACAGGATTTTACTTTTGGAATATATAAAAACTCCAGGGAAAAAATGGCTAAAAAAAGGGCTAATGGAAAAATTAGATGAGGCTTCAAAGCCTTGTAACAGTGGAACTGTATCTGGGATGCATTATTATTCTGGTTTATATGCCACTCCATTCATAAAGACTCTGAGAATTAATAACAAACCCATAGCAGAGTAAAAATACAAAAACAAATATACAGTAACTGATGTGCCACACTCTGGTGTAGCATGGTCCTCACTCATTTGCGCCCAAAGTGCTGCTAAAGAGCTACATTTTTACAGCTCTTGAAAACCTAATCAGGAAGGGATAGTTTAAGTATCTGGGGTAGCCTGTTCCAGAGTAGGACAGCCGCCACCAAAAAAGTCCAACAATGGGGTCCCTGCAGATGACATTCCCTCAGTGGTAGGATCTTCAGCGAGCCTTCTTTCTCTGGACACATTCAACTCAGAGCAGACAATCTCAGAGATATCCAGAAAACCTTGAACTATGAAGGGTTTTAAAGGTGACAACCAAGACCTTGAATTGCATCCAGAAGCTGACTGGCAACCAATGCAGCTCCCACAATCGTGGTTTTACACAGGCAAATCAGTTAAGTAAGCTGAAAAGTAGGAAAGGATTCAGGAAACTTAGTAGGTTAATTGAGAAAATCTAATGTAAGCATTAGATTAAGAAAAAAGGAACACAAGGGTCTTCAGGAAAACAACAATCTACATAGATTTAATTCTTTTTTATCTGTGTATTATCTTTGGCTGATAGTAACCTATTTGAAATGGCTACGTGATGACATGCTCCTACATAGTGTTTTCCATCCGTTTTAATTGAATAACCTAAAAAATCCTTTCAGAGCATGTGTAACTTCTCTGGATTGTATTTGGCACACTGTACAAAATAATTCCCATTCTAACTAGATTTACTATGTGACTTTGGGCCAGTCATGGTCTCTCAGCCCTAGAAAGAAGGCAATGGGAAGCCACTTCTGAAAAACTTGCCAGTCAACATTAACTTGGGAGACACTAAAGCTAAGGCACGGTGACTGGAAAGCTACTTACCTTTACCATACGAGCAAAATATTCACCACCAAGATAGTTTTCTGTTTTCAGGTACAAGTCCCTCAACTCACTTGCACCAACTGGATTATATTTGGAGTTAAATTTATCAAACCGGTGAAATGTTTGGCGATCCTAAGGAAAAACAGGGATAAAAAAAAATACATTTCTGTTATTTTATATTATTTATTACTGGATATTAGTTTTAGTAACTCACATATTCATAATGTGCTTTTTAAAACATAAAATATGAACATACAAAAAGGTAACTTGAATTCAGGTTATATCAGATAGCATAAAATAAATTCACAAAAGACATAAGAGTTTGTCAACCAAAAGTCTATTTCTCTTTCCATGGATGGGTAATTTACAAAAACTTGATAATTATTCTAATGTTATCTTTGTTTAAAATGAACTTACTGCATGGACATCTAGTGAGTCTACAGTGAGGTCATAGGGATCCATGTGGAGGCTTTCAAACACCTGCTTTAAAGTCAGCTTCTTGTCTTTTCTTTCCCCAACTATCCTGTTTGGCTCAGTTTGATAAGTGTGCTTAATGAACCTCAGCAAATGTTTCTGATTCATGCAAGCAGCAGCATGGATATGGGTATCAACCTGAAATCATACAAAATAGTGGTTTTGCTCAGCTGAAAATAGAAGCTATTTTATTACTATCTGCGTGACACAAATTTAATTTAAAAGATATTATCTGTTATTGTGCTACAATACTAGAAAACACATTTTCACAGTTATCAGACAGCAGATTAAGGGAAGAGAGAGAATCTTGAATCCACCCAAAGCCACTCCTCTAATCCAAATTGAATTCTGTCACAAACAATCCACTTTTAGACTTGGTGAAGGATCACAGACCTCTTTTGTCTGGTTTAGCCTTCAGGATAAGAAAGTTGCTAGTCTAAAATGGAAAAAGATAGGAAAGCATTTCCAAAACATATGACAATTCTGCCATGAAGAGAACATTTATAGCATCAGAGTTCTATTTACTGCAACAACACAAATTTGTAACTTAATTCCCTTATGAATGTTCAAGGTTTTGAGACGTGGCCCAGGGCAGCATCTGTAGCAGCAAAAGGAAATTATTATTTTAAACTAGGGAACTCTGTATGCGGGCCAAGAAGCAACAGTTAGAACCAATCATGGAACAACCAATTGGTTCAAAATAGGGAAAGGAGTACGACAAGGCTGTATACTGTCACCCTGCTTATTTAACCTATATGCAGAGTACATCATGAGAAATGCCAGGCTGGAAGAATCACAAACCGGAATTAAGATTGCAGGGAGAATCATCAATAACCTCAGATATGCAGACGATACCACCCTAATGGCAGAAAGTGAAGAAGAACTAAAGAGCCTCTTGATCTTGATGAGGGTGAAAGAGGAGAGTGCGAAAGCTGGCTTGAAACTCAACATGGAAAAAACTAAGATCATGGCATCTGGACCCATCAATTCCTGGCAAATAGAAGGGGTAGAAATGGAAGCAGTAACAGACTTCATTTATTTGGGCTCCAAGATCACCGCAGACGGAGACTGCAGCCATGAAATTAAAAGACGCTTGCTCCTTGAGAGAGGAGTCTTTGGAAAAGACCCTGATGCTGGGAAAGATTGAAGGCAAGAGAGGAGTCTTTGGAAAAGACCCTGATGCTGGGAAAGATTGAAGGCAAAAGGAGAAGAGGATGGCAGAGGATGAGATGGTTAGATAGCATCACTGAAGCAATGACCATGAAACTGAGCTGAGGCAGTGAAGGACAGGAAGGCCTGGCGCAATATGGTTAATGGGGTCACGAAGAGTCGGACACGACTTAACGACTGAACAACAAAGGGAACTCCCTTTGTATGACCAGATATACCTTTAGTTCCAAACCATTATCTATATATTTATACAGTGTTGTATTTTGCTACATACATTTCATTCAGTATTTTTTTCTCATGACATGTATATATTCCTTTCCCTTTTCCTGCCATACTTAATTTACTCCCTTCCTTTCAGCACCACCCCCAACAGTGTTAGCCAAGTTGCAGCTTTGTCAACAGAATCATGAAAGAACGATCCACTTTGTTACTTGACCTGTTGTTTAATAATTTTTATTCAAAAGTATTTAGCATTTTAAAGCATATCCCATATGTCTTATTTTCTCACAGATTAATGGCATTTTCTCCAGCTTTAAGATCTACATGTACCAACACTTTTATTTTACTGTCAGAGAGAAAAATACAATTGGATCTGTAATCTTTCTTTAGGATTTGAGAATTGAGTGCAAGCTAGAAATGAGGGGACTGAAATGGAAAAGAGTTCTTAGGTCTGCAGAGTCCATAATTAGTTCTTTTCCAGAACAAGAGCACTTCTGACTATTTCCAGAAGTGAGGGGAAATGTCTTTCAACATTAGTCCAAGCAATAGGCAACATTTTACTTCAGCTCCATCAACAAACTTTATAATTAAGAGTTTAAGGTGATAATGATATAGAGAAGTTTCTATCACAGAAGATTAGCCTGGATAATCCCTCTACTGAATAGATGAAATTGAACTATCCTTATTAATTTAATTTCAGTTGCAAAAATAATTCAGAGTCATTACAATGATTAAAAAAAAATCCTTCAATTTCATTCCATCCTCCATGCTTTTTGTGTAGCCTTTAATCATAATTATTGAAGCTTAAGCAAGAGGTATTTATTTAAGGGGCTGTCTATTTTATTTTCTATAATCACTATAAATCAAAACAATGTTGGAACTCAGCAAAATGAGAATCTTCAGTATGGCTCTATCTTTTATAGCCTGGAGGACATTATTTAACAAACATGGCAAGAGATACCAAAGTACTGAACAAATTACAACTGACAATCCATGCCTATCCCAGATGTATCACCACCCAACCACTTAGAATATTATGTAAAAGGCAGGCAGAAGAGTGTGGTTCATTCAAACAAGAAAACAAAAATCCAATATGGGGAATCATTTCCACAGATACATGTTATATTCATACCATGTAAAATGACTCTACGTATTTAGTTATCAAGACTGATAAGCTTTTGTCTTGTTACTCTACTCAAATACTCACTGGAAACTGCAGCTGTAGTACATTTTATTCTATAAATACAAACATTGTACCAAAATTGAGCATGTTGGTTGTTCCATTAACTACTCAACTCAGTTAAAGCTTCCAAAGCCAGCGACTCCAAATACCAAATGTGATTACATTATAGTCTTAATCACAATCACAAGACATTCTATAAAAAGGAGACAGAAATGGCACTAGAATATATGTGCTTTTCTTTTAACTATGTCTTTAATGTCTGCAAGCAAAATGAAATGACAAAAATGCATTTAGTAATTCACACCCTGGACCAAAAAATTGTTCCGGAAATACCAGTAAATTTCTGTGTCCATCATCCCCTTCACTACCTCTTCAAAATACTACTATGGAAGAAGAGGTGTTTATTTTGCATGTGTTGCTCAGGTCTCAAGATGGACAATAGCAACAATGAATGCCAATTATCTCTTAAAAGTATGCAATCTGTTTTGGCCAAAGGTATGCCAAGGCATGTTACAATATAACAAGGGTTTGAAATTAGGGAAAATAATATTTAATTTGATTTAATTCAGTTAATTAAACACACTTAATATGATTACTCTCCATGCATTTCATTTTCCCCTTCTGTTACATTAAAAATTATGATAAGGGGTCTGGAAGCTAAATCCTACGATGATAATGATAAGGGGTCTAGAGGCTAAATCCTGTGAAGAACAGCTAAAGGAACTAGATATGCTTAGCTTAACGATGAGAAGACTGAGGAGAGACATGCTAGCAGTTTTCCAATATTTGAAGGGCTGCCACAGGGAAGAGGGTGTCGATTTATTCTCCATGGCACCTAATGGTAGGACAAGAAGCAATAGGTGGAAGCTTGTGAGAGAGAGATCCAACCTGGAAATAAGGAGGAATTTCCTGACAGTGAGAGCTATTTAGCAGTGGAACAGCTTGCCTCCAGGAGTTGTGGGTGCTCCATCACTGGAGGTTTTCAAGAAAAGATTGGACAATCATTTGTCTGAGATAAT